CTACATTTAAACTCTCCAGAATACCTAATTCAACATTGAATACGATTTGAACTTTAATAAAGGGGGTAGATATTTTAATGTAGGTAGACTGATATCATAACCGGATTTTGGAGATATGAAATCAATTACCAATAACATTAGTAATTAAATAGTCTATTATGATTAAAAGACGCTGTCTAGCTCAATTATCAATAAACTTATGACTAGACTGATCTAGTCATAAGTTTATTGATAAATAATTAATTCTGCCGATAAAAGTATAAATCTCGGTTTGACAACAGACGTAGCGATGGAAAAGCAACACACAGCCCTCCTTCAAGGCGTGGAACAGTTCCAAACCTCCTCCCTGAGGCGGACGGACACTGTAGAAAAAATAGTCCTACCGAACGCACTAGGTATTTTGTGACGGTGGAAATAATGCGTTGATAACTCATAACTATGTGTTTGCATTGACCAAAATTAATTATTATTAGGCATAAAAGAACACAAAAGAAACTGTTAGTAGGTACATTTTCTTTCTTTTTGATCTCACTTTTTCGATACCTACCTAATTTTGAATTAATTGCGTGGCGCCATCTATTGATGCGAGTTACAAAATGCGATTATATAAAAATAACGGTAACGTTATTTTGTAATTATTAAATGGAGAAAATTTTTAGGAAAGTACTTTCAAGTCCAAGTAATTTTTAAATGTGTAATCGTTGTGATGGATTAATGTCAATTTAAAAGACAATATATTGATGTTCATGCGCGAATTTTAGTTAATGTATTGCATTTCCTTGCAAAATAATAAATTACGATTATTTTTGCAAACACATTATGTCAATGTAGGCACATTATTATGCTTAATGTTGAATACCTCATATAATGGTCGCCTTCTCATCGCATTCTCGCCTAATAGTTTGTGGGTTTTCGATGACATTAATATTAAATTAATAGAAGTTTTATTTCTAACAAAAATAATGTCTAACATTAATCAGAACACTTACATTTTATGTGGTTTATGTGCACACTAAAATGTTTAACTATTAATAAGCATGTTGTTATCACTTTAAATTATCAATGATGATGCTGAATTTTTTTATTAATGATTTCAGATGTAGCAGCAGAGAAAACCCAAAAATCTCTATTCGATGGCATTGAAAAATTCGACGCCACTAGGCTGAAGCACACAGAAACACAAGAAAAGAACCCGCTCCCCGACAAAGATGGTAAATAATATTTTCTTTACAAGTATGCACATAATGCACGAACCTATATTACTATAGCACCCATGCAGATATTATTATGCCTGTACGTGTGTATAATTTTGAACAGTTTACTTTAATTATCCTTTTTATTTTAACTAGCCTTTGATTATTTTTTTCATTGTTATCTTGTAACGATTAACTATTATACTAATCTGTACGAAAACTTAAAACACAAACGAATACATTTTGTTTTACCTTTCACTGGTAGAATTATTGACAGTTGCGCAAACAATAAAATGAATAGTTTCATTTACCGGTGGTAGCACAGAATAATAATGCGGTAGGTAGACTTAGATTATTGGATATTTATTGAGTAAAAAAGTAATCTTTGTATATTATAAAATATGGTATGAAAGTAGTAAGAACCTAAAAAATATGTTTATGCATATGAGGCAACATAAGTTAACATTGTATCTTATGGTATGGGGGACCGAATTGAGAGTAAATGTCATAACTTAATCAGGAACCGTACCGGGAACCTAATTCTGATGCATAAAATATGAAAATCTGATGTCTAGTTGCAAATTCCTTTCGAAAATGAACTTTGCCTATAATAATGCTGTTTGGCAGTAGGTACTACTTGCTTTTTCTTTGCCTATAATAAACGACAAAAATAATAACTAGCATGTACATTTTGGCGCCGTAAACATTATTTGCAGCGTGTTATTTTGAGCTTTTTATTTATTATTTCTTGCACGATCGCTTTGTATCAGTCGTGGCAGCAGAGAAGGCGCACCAAAACCTCTTGGACGGCGTGGAACACTTCGACAAGACGCAGATGAAGCACGCCACCACGGAGGAAAAGAACCCCTTACCGCCCATCGAAGGTTTCTATTTTGCGCTTTATTGTCTTTTTTGTATTTTCACTGACAAACTTTTTGCACGGACTATTTATTATGCGCTTTTTTATAATCAATAGAAAATTATGGGTGGATTGAGTGAGTTGATGATGAATGTTTTGATTGTAAGTTTCGTTTAGTTAGGTGATATTCTATGACTGCTTTTAGTTTCAATGATTTCTCATCCTCCTCTTCACATGAATAAGTTAATTAATTACATTGTATTCAATTATCTGTATTTACTTCCAGTTGTTTGAATCTTAACTATTCTGGGTTCGATTCCCAGTCAACAAACAACCTGAAACCTTACCAGATAGATTAATAAGTGTAACACCGACATTTTTACCGCTCCACACGATGAAAGGATAGGGGTTACCTTAATTTTTCAATCAAACAAAAATAATCAAAACCCTTTTCTTAATTAGCAGAATTTTTTACCTGTTTTGAACCTACTTTAACCGTAACTTACATATTATTTGATGCAGAAAGTGATTATCTTTTATGTAGATAACTTGGACTCATCTCATAAACAACGTCAAATTAACAGTATTTTCATCTGTCCCTCACAGCTATCGAGGCGGAGAAAGAGAAGAACAAGTTCTTGAATGGCATCGAGAACTTCGACCCTACCAAGTTGAAGCACACAGAGACCTGCGAAAAGAACCCCCTCCCCACCAAGGACATCATTGAACAGGAGAAAACCGCTTGAGCGGTCTCTGTCGCCAATATAACTTGCTAGTATCGCCCTATTTTAAACTCGATGTAAGTTATGTAAGTCCGTTCGGGCCTTCCATGTAACTCTATGGTCACACCATGCCCTCTAACATCAGCAATGTACCTCATCGTTTTATAATCGGTACCAGTGTGACCGTAGCATTAGTCTCTTTTTTAATTTTATGCAAAAAAGATTCAAAATGGACGCCGCGAACTGGCCGTTATCATTAGTTTAAGAACCAAAATTTCTATGTCACTTTTAACGGTATATATTTTAATACTTAAGCGTATTTTATGAGCATTTTATAATTTATTTTATATGAAAGGAATAATTAAGTATTAATGTCCAGTACTGATTTGTTTAAGTCGGGAACATTGCGCTGTGACCTGCAAGTTGCACGTCGTTAGCGCTTTGGTCTCTCTAGTTCAGTTTAAGTTGGAGCGTTTCGTCATGTATCTGGTCAGTAATTAAGAGTGTAGTTACCAAGACTCATTCGGATTGAAATTAATTTTTGGCCTTAATTTCTGCGTTAATATAGTGTTATTTTTAATATTATATTTACTTAGAAATATACTTACATACTTAAAAATCAACGAAATGTAGCATCATAATGTGTTACTTGCTCAACCGCGTACGGATAAGTAAGCTTCGGAGAAGTTCTCAAGCAATAGTTTGACGATGTCATATTATGATAACTAATGTAACAATAATATTTTATAGTATCGAATATACATCAATAATTTTCCAATTTTATAATATGCTATGGATGCCAATACATAAACCATTTTTATCGGAATTTTGTATGTTTTACAGACGGTGCTTTTTTATAAATATAGATGAAAAACGTACATGGCCTTTTATTTTATGATATTTTTTCTTGCCTTCTTTTCTCTGTTTCATCATCACCAATGCTACAAAAAGCCCGGATATTATGGTCTGTTACTACATGCCCATACCCATCATAATATCAATAATCTATCGTTAGGAAACGGAACAATAATCTTTGCCAAATACCGTTACCGTTATCGCTATCAGCCCAGTGTCCGCAGACCATCCGCAGACAGATACAGATTATTAGAGAGTAGGGCTAGTACCCGATGGAGTAACTTTATTTTATTTATTTAGGAATAGTCACCGCTTAAACTATGGAAATAAAAAAAGGTAAAATAAATAAGTAATATTGTCTGGAAATCATTAATTTAACACCTAACTCCGTAGCCCTTATCTAGCCCTAGTTTCGTGATTGCTTTGATATCAATAGAGTAAAAGTTACGTTATCATGTATTTAATCTTAAACTTAAAATGTGGGTATAGTGAAATAAAAATAATTAAATAAATGTTTACGCAAAACTTTAGCAGATTAACCTATTTGGATTTCGCGCTCGATCTTTTCCTTCAGTGCATAAAAGCGGATATGATGTCCAGCTGTAAATAAAAAAAACTTGTATGAATGTGATGAAACGCGGAACTATGAAATTGTCCATACTAGTTGACAGATTAGATTGGAAGTGGCGCCCCCAGTCACAAAATCGGTTGGTTTTGTCAAATTTATTTACGTGTATTGATTATCTGCACAATGCATCAATATTCGATTATATCAAAAGACAGATGGCCTTGGGGTGCACCTAATTATGAAGAATTAATTAAAAAAGTTAATAAGCATTTATTGTGAATTTGTGAGAGATCACGAGAACTTAAGTTTTGATTAAAATTAAAACAACAATCTTTAATATCTTTCACAAAATCGTAATTTACAAGGGAAAATCCTAATAACTTCGCATAACGGTACCGTTATTTTATAAAATAATGTTTTGTTGTCTCAAATAAATCATAAAATATTTATTATTTTAATAATAACGAGCTAATAACTTTTTTATTTAATTGCACTACAATACAATTGTCGATGCTAGCGCCACTACATGACGCGAAGGTTTTTTCTATAAAAGTGGTAACTTTTTTTTTGCAGAAATGCTAAAATTGTAAATTTTGATTTTCCTTCCCGCCGGCTCTTGACGGTTTGCTTTTGGCACGTGCAATTTTCATTTAGCTTTGTTGTTGAATTATTAACTTTGTATTTATAAAATACAGTTCATCACTGATGCTGAGTGTCGGGAAATATTATTTCGGTAAGTGTTTAGTTATTATTTCAGTGGCGTACGCTCGATTTAACATTTGCACGTGTTGTGTATCGTAGACAGCAAAACAACCATTTGCATTCGCCAAACGATATAGCTACGATATGGTTTTGTGAATACTTTTATTGCCCTTTATTTGTTTTGTTTATCATCTCCGAGGTCAATATTCGTAAAGAAAGATTTACGTTTACAAAATGCCCACAATATTCGGTAGCGTCATTTGTTTTTGTTTACCTGCAGATTCTTAGCTGTTGTATACAATGTCGCCTTCCCCAATCCGTTGTCGTGGACCATGGAAAATACATAAGCGTTCTTCGGAACCTGATAGGTGGCTGGATGAATTGGGTTTTTTTCGAAAACACACTGCTAGGGATTCCAGCTGTTTATTTAGAGCAGTGTCTGAAAATGTGTATAATACCCAAAGATACTTCCACAAAGTACGCCTGGATTGTGTGCAGTTCATGGCTTCAAAAAGACATCTTTTTGAAGGGGTAGGACAAAATTTTATTCTTTGGCAATTATTATTTCTCTACCTTCTGAAATGTTAACATTTATTTTTATTTTGTAGTCATTGAACTGTCCCTTTGAAAATTATCTAAAAGAAATGTCCAATGCGTCTGAATGGGGAAGTTTCATTGAAATATCAGCCATGAGCCATTTATATAGGTAAGAATTGTTTATAAACATCCTTATCTTATCTCATTTTGAATTACTAATTACTTGAATAAAAATGAAAATTTGATTCCGAGTAAAACTCAAAATCCATTCCAGACGTGACTTTATTATTTTCGAAGCAAATAATGGTCCCCAAACGAAAATTTGTAATGGCTATGGTAACACAATATATTTGTTTCATTCACCTGAAACGAAGCATTTTGATGTGGTGTACACTAAAGAATTCATAACCACATCTTCATATTGCCAGTGTAAGTTCATAATTTTCTTAACTGAATTAAATAATACATAATATTTTAAGTCCATTTAATTAATTCCCAGTCCAATTATTTCTTCAAGTATGGCATAAAGCCTTATTTTTGATTTTCTTAATACATTTTGTTGTGATAATTTATATCTTTTCGCTTTTGTTGTTGTTCTCACTATGTTTTAAGCTTCTTTTAATTATTTCATTAATTTATCTATTACTTTTAATTCTGTTTTTATTTGCTTGTGTCAAACTGTACTGTATTTGTAGCTTTGGTCTATGAAATACTTTATGATGGTGTGTACCAACTGAAAGACTTACCATATGCTGTTGATAAAATGCTCCATGATAAAGTTCCCACAAACCACATTGAGTACTTCATGTCAGAAAATGTTGAGCGCCGTAAAAAGCAAAAAGAAAGAGCTAAGATCTTTATTGAAGCGACTACTGATGATAACAAAGACAGGAATAATGCTGTTGCATTGAAATGTAAACATCACACAGAAGACCTAGAACGAGCGAGCCTTTTGAAAGAGTCTCTCAGTATTTTTGTGTTTAACCGCAGCCTTATTCAACTAGAAAACGTCTGCATGAACTGTCTGAATGTAAACAGCGCAAAAGACCTGCTTGATAATGGCATCACACCTTTTCCGTATAAAGTAGCAAAAGCTTTAGACCCGGACATCTATCGGAACATCGAGTTCGATGTTTGGAGTGAACTACGACGAGGTACCTTCATATTCTATTGACTTGATGTTTAACGGTGAGTTGTGTGGTAAATTGATTTGGTTTTGCAGAGTTGCGTTATGGGGCTAGGTACTCGGACGGGAGTACACTGCAAGTCGGCGTTAAGTGCCTCGTTAAGATAGAACCCGAGCAGAGTGGGCCTTACCACTGCCACATTCAGGAGATGCGCCCGGACGGCGGGCCGTGCCTCGTGTTTATCGAGGAGCTGGGCGAGAAGCGCGTCGTCAACTACGAACAGCTGGAGCCCTTGCCTCAGGAGGAGCTCCGACCGTGGGCGCCGCCCTACCGGTACTCCCGGGCTAACTCACAGTTCTTGACTTTAAGCCAAATGTTGCAGCAAATAGGTGTGATTACATTTCACATTTTGGAACATATTATGTGCAGGAGTTAGGCGCAGATCCCATACTTGGCGACACTAGGGTTGCCAATAGTTACATTGTTTAATATTATGACAAAATAGGTCATGGGCATTTGCACACATTGTTTGACAGTTTTGTCTTGGTGCTCCATTGAAATGTTGGATTTAATTGCAGAATTTTTATATCTGCATTAAAAACGAAGTATTAAAATAAAACTTTTGCTGATTTAAGAAATTATATTTGGCAACCCTTGTCGATTTACGAAGTTTGTAAATCGCGCCATTGTCCATAAATTAAGTTTGAATATGCTGGACCTTCATACTAAATAAAAATTTATTTTCTTTGGTTGACAACTTGTGCCAATGAAAGTGCCACCTTTCCGAAACTATCACAGATAACTTACCAAATCCATAAACAAAATATGCTAACCGGCATGCTCCCAGCTCCTGCACACCTGTATGTAAATTCTGTAATGCGCATTTCACATGTGATTTCACAACATTCAGGCAACATCACCCGAAAACAAGGGCTGAACAAAGCTAGGAATAAGCCGAAGAGTGGTGCTGAAGACCTCAAAAGCCCTGACAAGGCCAGTCCCCAAAAACTAAGCAAGATGTCTTGGGACGACGAAAAGCCACCAGGAGACATGGCCCAATACGTGAACGAAAATATTGACTTCTCTGCGTATCAGCACTTGGATTTTATTAATTTCGATTCTGTTAGTTTTTTTAGTTATGTAGTTGTATATTATTTTTAGGCCTGTGTTTCTATAATTTCATTTATAAGCATGTCATTTGAATTTTATTTTTATACCTTTCAATGTATTCGATGTTGTCTTTCAGAAGTGTTGAATAAGTGATTGGGTAGCTTCGACAGATTTTGGATGGCGGTATTATTATTTTTATTCATTTCCCATTGGGAAATGTGATGCCCTTGATTTGGCTACTACAGATTTTTCATTGTTTTGTGACCTATTTTATTTAAATCAATTCTTTATTTGCTTTATGTGTTTACAAAGTGTTTCAAATGAAGTGCTTATAAATGAGTTCTAACCCTGGTTCTGCCATATCGTAGCTATTCTATCATCAGTGGACGTAGTTAGTAGTGATGTAGCTCCAGTTGTTACGTAGAATAAATGGTATTGGTATGGTAGGTATTTTGCTTTCCAGGTCTCGATGTTAGAAATTAGTATTGTAACTTGTATCTTAGATGAGTTTTGTTGGTCGCGCGTTGCATAATGTCACAATTAAAAACGGGAAACAAATGAATCGATTGCGATTGGTTTGTGTAAACTTGAAATAAGGGATTACGATAGCAAATACCCGAATTCCGGTTTACAAATAGTCATTAATTAATGGCGAAAGTTTGTACAGAGTATGACAACAGAGCTCATCAGTAATGAGGTGATAAAGTAATGGGTTTGGGTATACCGGCGAGCTCGCTGGCAGCCGCTCAGACGCTCTCGCGAGCTAGCGTGGGAAGTCTGTCGTGTTGTGTCAGCGAGCATCGTGCGATGTACGTTGGTCCTGTAGTGATGTACAGAGGTGACCGGTCGCGCTTGCAGGTTGAAGTCGACGCACTGCCCCTGATGGTGGACTGCCGGCCGGCCGCGGGGCCCGCGCCCCACGACATCGCGCACTCGGCGCCCAACGGGGCCCCGCCTGAAGCTCACCAGAACCAGGTATGTATCTTGACTTTTTGGTAAGTTATTTACTTTAATGAGTAAACGAATTTCGCTTTTGCCATTGGCAGTTGATACTTTGACTGCCGCGTACAGATAAACTAAACAAATTGTTAACTAAACAAATTAATTAAGAAACAGGCGAACTAAAGACCACACTATCAATGTTGTAACTTATCGCATGTTTAGGAAGGATGTACGGACGGAGACACATATCATTGGCTCAAATAGAGTCCCTTCTTACGTTCTGTCTGGGTTTCACAATAAAACATTAATATTTGGATTGTGTAAAATCATTACCACATTTACCATTAGTATTAAAGGTTTCGTTATTTAGACTAATAGCTAATTACGATCGCTAATTACTTTGTACGCAACACAGTTCCTGGTTGCAATTGGATTTTCTATAAATTTGAGCTCATCAAAATTACTGTTTATTATGCAATGCAAGAAACTGTCCAGGCAGGGTGCTTTTTAATGTTTCTTCTAGGGAAAGGGGCTCCGACACGCGTTACGCGTGCAATAGCCCAGGGGCTAAGCGTGGTTTATTATTCATTTATCAGAGCCGTCTTTATCTAAGTACTAGCGGCCGCCCGCGACTTCGTATGCGTGGACCTCGTTTTACTCCCTAAGGGGTTGATTTTCTGTTGAGGGGGCAAAATCCCGTCGTAGTGAGCACTTACGTTCTAAAAGGAACCCCCATGTAAAATTTGAGACTCCTAAGACTTTTAGTTTCTGAGAATTCGTGAGGAGTGTGTCAGTCAGTGACCTTTCGCTTTTATGTAGATAGATTTCAAGGAACATAATAAAATAAATATGCCATTGCTCTTGGCCTAAAAATTCAATGCTTTAAGATTTATTTTGAATTTCTTACATTTGTGCATAAAAGGGGGCTCAATAAATATTCGTCGTGTGTTCCCTCAGGCGGCGGCCAACAACGAGATGGGTGCGCACGGGATAACGTCTCCCGCCTCCGTGCGAGCATCAACCCCAGCCACCAGCAACGCGCTCACCCCCTATACAGGTAAACTATAGGACTTTACCTTCCTCCGTCCTTTTTATCTAGCTTGAGAAGCCGCGATAGCCGAACGATGAAGGAGTCGGACGTGATCCGAGGAACGCGGGTTTGATCCCCGCCGCCGCTCGACCATTTGTGTTGAGATTGCTACGAGGGGTTAACGGGATTATTAGTATTTATAGACAGATGGACAAACAAAGGCCTCTCCTAAGGATATTTGCAGTGAGTAGTCCTGCAATATCTACATATTGCAGGACTACTCACTCTCTACGCGCAGCTTGCAAAAAGAGCCTGAATGCCTACGCATTCATTTTTGCAAGCTGCGCGTACGTAGTCGTCAGGTCACCAAATGGGAGACCTTTAATGCTATAAAACCGAGGTTTATACAGCGTGTTTATGACGACAAATCTGACTTGTCGCAAACCGATACCCAGCTCTTATGTCCTAAATCAGAATTAAATCAAACAGGTCCCCAAAAACTCTCATTGGAACTCAACAAGTGGTGAAACTGAGTCCTACTAAAGAATGGACTGCAAACCGGTTTGAATCGCGTTTTTCAAATAATTTTGTCTGTTTTTTTTTCTATAAAGAAAAACAGTTAAGGCGATTAGAGTCCTCAATGACCTTGAGCGTTTGACCTTCAGGCTTCGCACAACACCCGCGCACCCCGCACGAAAACTCCGATTTGACACCGATCAAAAATACACGGGCATAGGTAGGTACAGAATAGAAGCTCTTTCTTCATACATTACTGCCTATTATTTTAAACTTGAATTGATGAACCTTGATGTCGATGTCATTCAACCCAGGCGCAAGTGATCGCCCGAAATGTTCTAAACTAGTTTAACAAAAATTACAAATCCATGAACATTTTGTATGGGATAATATTTTTTATTTTATTTTATTTAGCTTACAATGTATGTTGTGTGTAAACTATGTTTGTTCGGGTGGAATTTTGCAAGCTGAATTAGTTAGACCCATTTCCTGACGACAACCGATTGAGTTAAAATTTCGGATACACATGCAATTCGGATGACAATGCAATATTATGATGACATGGAGCTGATCTGATGATAGAGCTGGAAAGTCAGTGACCCCATAGGAACTCCGGAATAAAACGACTAAAAGGAATGTTAGATAGATACTTACATCACTGCATTCATTTTCAAAGCTCTCATGGCCGCATATTTCATCGAACCATTTTTTCGAGGCATTTTCATAAACTCAATCAGATGTCGTTATTTATGTCGGTATATGCGCGAAATAAAGACTTTGAATTACGTATTATTGCATACTTATCATCTTTTATCTGAGCTTTTATCTCAAGAATAAAATTGTCATTTTGACAAAATATTTCCCATACGGAGACTGTCAATAGGCCAATTTTATTCTCCATTTAAAAGTTTCGATGCATTCAAAAATCATAA